TATATATATATTTTGTTTTTAATACATGTGTTTAGCAAAGGGACTGGAGAGAGAACAGTAAACTGGCCATGTGATCTAGTGCTACTGTCTTCTTCTGTGGTATAACAGGACTCACAGATATGCCTAGCTGCCCTAGTCAGAAAGATCATAAGAGTATGTGGTAGTTTTAAACATATTTGGAAATGAACAAATGTTCAAGAAAAAAAATGCATCTTCCAATATGTTATTCTTTAAATCTCCTCTAAATTAATCATGTATTTCTGAGTTATGGTTTACTACATTTTGTGGGTTTTGCATTGGCAATATTTTACTTTGGATATGAACTATCTAAAAAAAGCTTGGAACTCCTCTCAGAGAGACTGAGTGGGGTTTCTTTTAGATTTTTTTAGTCTAGTAACTAGTACCTGCATGGAATCTGGAGTGCAATCTGTGTTGTGGATCACAGTACACAAATGGGTAGGAGTTGAGTGCACTTACCACTAGAAAGCCCAGTGTCAAGTAATTGCACAAGTAATTCATTACTACCGTGTCTGCAGCATCCAGATGAGCTCTTGCCACTGAAAATCAAATGTTTGCCTGGCTTTAAAACTGTCATACTCATCTGTTTCAAACTAGCTCCCATGCAACAAGTAGATTTTGAGTTTCAAAACAGGAATTGTAACTACAAATTTCTCTACTAATCACTTAGCGTTAACCAGACTACAGTTTGCATTTGGCACTGAAATCGCATACAATATAGATAGAGGCAGCATATCTTCTGGTAACCTTTACTTCCAAGATTGTGACATATATGACACTATTGAAGATTATAGGACAATGCGGCCACTGCTTCATGCAGCTGCTTCTGCTGACCACCGTAAAGTTCAGATCTGTTCTGCAGTGAAGACAGAGCACTTACTCTTTCTCCTGTAGATAAGGATACACCCCTTTAGCTGTTAGCAGAATGAATGTGCAAGACATTACCATGCAATACGTCCACTGCTTTAACATGTCCTCTTGTCACAAAAGACTTGACAGTTTACTTTCTCCTCACATTTTTGTTTGTTTTGTCCACTATGATCTCTATAGTGTTGCTGCAAGTTTTACCCAGTATAGTTATCATAGAATCATAGAATGCTTAAGGTTGGAAGGGACTTCTAGAGGTCATCTATTCCAACCCCCGTGCACACGCAGGGTCACCTAGAGCACGTGGCACAGGACTGCATCCAAGTGGGTTTTGAAGATCTCCAGAGAAGGAGACTCCACAACCTCTCCGGGCAGCCTGTTCCAGTAATCTGTCACCCTTACTGTTAAAAAAATTTTCCATAAGTACCTGTGGAACTTGTGGTGCTTCAATTTGTGGCCATTACCTCTGGTTCTGTCAGTGGCCACCACTGAAAAGAGGCCAGCACCATCCTCCTCACTCCCTCCCTTGAGGTCCTTATAGACCCTGATTAGATCTCCTCTCAGCCTTCTCATCTCCAGGCTGAACAGGCCCAGCTCCCTCAGCCTCTCCTCATAGGACAGATGTTCCAGGCCCCTGATCATCCTCGTAACAGCCCATAAGCTGTCTTGCAAGTTTCTGAGCGCAGGTAAAATGTCAGATATCATTAGGAAGAGGTGTGGTAAAGCTAGCTCCTAGAGGTGGGACAAGCAACCTTACCCTACCTTCCCGGCATGAGATAAGACAGCCTGAGAGCCCTGGTTGCCTACCTCTGGGAGGATTGTTCTAACAGAACTCAGAATGACACAGATACAGGCTGAACTATTGTGAAAACAGTCTGCAAAGGTCCCTTGTATTCTTGTCGACTGCCAGCTGGCTATGGAGGAGGTGAGACTAGCTGTCACTAGGGGGAGACCAAAGCCTGGTGGGAAGGAAGACTTACCTCCTTCCAGCGGTAGAGGCAGATGGGGCTGGAACAGCTTGGAGTAGCCACCACTGCTGAGCAGGAAGGGGCCACAGAAGAGAGCTTGATGGGTGCTGCCCATCTGCACTTCCCAGATTTCTTCACCAGTGTTAGCTAGGGCATGCATCAGCTGCCAGTCTTGTGCTGCAAGCCAGACAGCAGGTACCCATGGAGCAGATCAGGTAGGAGCTTTAGTTTAGATAGGCCCCAAGGCTTCTGAAGGGGTAAGTCCAAAAAATCTTGAAATCTGCCATCATCCTGTCATCCTACCTCACCTCCTGTGCTTACACTAGGGCTTGTGTGATTATGTAGTGGCCCTGTTAGGGATCTAGCTGAGAGCAAATCCTCTTTTTTTTTTTTTTTTTATTGTCTAGATTATTTTTCAGCTGGGTCAATTACCTGAACATGTGGCTGCAGAGTCGCATGAGCCTGACACAAGGAAAGGGTGTGGCTGTGTATCTGGGAACAGGGTTAGGGGGAATATCTGTCAGCTTTAATTCACAATGTCTTAAACTACGTAATCACATTGTACAGTCCTCCTTTTCCAGTTACCATTGCTACCAGTTAGAAATGAAGAGGCTACCTAACAGGCCCTAAAGAATTCAAACCACTTTGTTGAAAAGTACTTTGAATACTGCTTTGATTACTGTATGTAAGTACCTTCACAAAGTATCAAGCAATAAAAGTCTCTATAATGTTACAGGAGAAAGCATGCTGAAAAGAAAAATAGGTGCAAATTAAAACCAGATGAAGTTGTATATTGATCTGTAGTTGTGAGAGCAATTAACATTTGCAGCAACTTATCTTGGGAAAACAAATATTCATTCATTGAAAAGTCTGCTGTCAGAAAAAAATTATTGAAGGGATTATGATTTACATGGAGTTTATATTATACAGGGATAATATGTATATATGAGTACTAAGAGATGGTTAGCTGTGAGCTTTAACTTAGCTTTAATTTTTTAGGGGGGTGGGTGGGCAGTGACAGCACCATGTGTAACTGAAAATAGTGATGGAGAAAAGCAACCATCCAAAGATGCCAAAGAGATTGCTGGCTGCTTCCTGGGGAGGTTGATACAGCTGTAGCGTGACTACTGTGCTCCTCCTGTGCATCCTTACAGATTTCTGTATAGATTTCTTTCAGTCAGCATCTGTATACAGCTGTATACATCTGTATACAGATGCTGACTGAAAGAGAAAAAAGCTGTTACTTCAAATGGAAAATATATGGTGGGGGGATAGTACAGAATCTGTGGGGCAGAGCCCATGGGCAACTCCCCATATAAGTACTTCTCATGACTGAGGCTGTACTCCCTAAGTTACTTTGCGGATTCTTTGTACTCCCCTTTACTGTATTTGCCACCTGCATCTTGAGCATTTGGTTACATAACCTGAGTTTGCTCACAACTTCCAAATACAATGTTTTTGGTTCTTTTTTTTTCTTTTTCTTTCTTTCTTTTCTTTTTTTTTGGTTTGATTTGCCAACACTACTCCCTAGACTTCACCTTCAGCCTTTGTCTTCTCCTGCATCACGTAAATTTCTAAGGGTTTGTTCTCCCCTGGATTCCAGGAAACAGTGTGACTTATTAAGTGGTTTGGGCAAGCTCAGATGCAAGGAAAATCAAGTCAGATGACAGACTGCTGCCCATTCACTCCAGTAAGTGCATTCCATCTCAGCATGCTTCACAAGGGAGGGCTGGGACCGATGAAATCTCAACAACTGTAATTTCTAATGGAAAAGAAAATACTGGTCTTCCTTGGGTTTTCCACTCTAGAACTTCACAGGATGACTGAATCATCAAAACAATCTCTTGCTGCAGAAGCAGAGGGGCTGTGACCTTGAACAGAGGCATAATAATCTCTTTCCTGATGGAATTATTTGGTCTGCATACCTTGCCATACATTTGAGTAGTTCTGTTCATTCAGGCTTTTAAGCACTTCAAAGTGTGTACATAAGAGAGCTGATGACAGGTAGAGTCTGTAGCTTACAGCCCAAATTGCCATAAGCATCACACAGTAAAAGTAGAAGGCCGAATAGGTGGAGAATATCTTAAAAAGACATTTATGAGAGTCAGCGACTCCAAGTTTCTGTCTCCTTCTCAGATATAAATGTACCAGGAGCTTGGGGCTCTTACTTTGCACAGATCTTGCTGGTGATGAGGACTAGCATTTTTTTTTGTCTCTCGAGATGTAGTGTCTCTCAGCTCTGATGGGATCAGAATATGATGAGAACGGAAAAGCCCTTCATGGGAGCATCTCCTCCCTTGCAGCAGCAGCTTTCAGCTGTTGTGCTTCTAGAGACAAATTTAACCTCTAGTTTGTAAAAGACTACTGTTCCCTGCATTAGTGCACTTTGTGGGTCTATACTAGGCTTTGCATTTCTATTTTTATCCATATCTCAGGAGAACAATGTCTGCATATCTGTACAGGAAACCTGAAAGACTTATAAAGGCTAAGACTGGAGCTCACTTTTGATACTGTGAGGGAGAATTTCACAGTAACCTCATGTGGGTGGAACTTTCCTACCTGCTTTCATACTCTCAGTATTTGCAGACATGCAATTACTCCATATGTCTAGCTAAAAGCAGAGAGTTTCCTAACTACAAATTTGATGCTTCATTACAGAATGGAACATGACAGCTGTTACTACTATGCATTAATAATTCTACTTCACTTTATGGCTTTAACTGTTGTAGTAACCTGGATTTGTAATGATACATGATGTTCAGCACGGCATCATATAAAGCAACTAATCTAATAGTGCCAGGTCACCGAGCTGACCTACAAGATTTTAACTCTTTCTTCTGCCAGATTTGCTGCCTTATTTATTGTATTAAATTGAACGAGTTGCACTGTTTATAAAATGGCCTCTATTTTTGGCACATCCTGGACTCATTTTTTTCCCTGTCACTTAACCATCCTGTAATACATTTGGTGGACCTTCCTTCCTCATCCATTCTCCGATACTGTTTAAAGAAGTTCCCACAAAATGCATTTGGAAAAGTAATATACCACAACATAGCTACAGAAAATGTAGGAAGGAATGTATCTGGGAGAAGGTGATGAAATAATAGACAGCAATGAGGTTATGGGAGAAGGAGATGGTGATACTCTAGGAGGAAAGGGAGACCATGGCTGCTGCATCTCACTGCCTGTCAGCGGTAATATGCCTATCCTGTAGTCCTTGAAGGAAGGATAGTTTGCAAAGACTGAGGTCATCTCCTGTAACTTCTCTGTAGCTCACAGCATGAAAGACAATACTGAAGAAATAGAAACATTAAGACTGTAACCTGGAACTGGCTCTAGGTTCCCCTTGGAGCACTCAGCAGCCAGGGCCCTCATGCAGGGTCCCACACACTCTCATCTCTTGTCTTACCAGGGGGCTGTGTTTCCATGCCATCTTAGCCACACAGTGCAGTCACCTACCTCAGAGGCACAGGTGCCTCAGAGAAAATTAGCTCTCATCTGAAGCAAATGGACTCCATCTCCTAGATACCCATTGCTTGAAGATGCATTCCTCACTGCTCCTGCAAGCTGCACAAGAGCCTGGTCCAGCAGTCTTTAAATGGCTTTTGAAAATCCCAAATCCTGCTGGCTACTTCTATGGGACCAATGAAAAGTCATTACAAAGAATAAAGGAGGTTTAACCAGGAGGCTTAACTGCACTAGAAAGAATGCTGTACTGCCACTGTAAAAAAAATAGTTAAGGTCCGCAAATATAGGTGGAAAAGAAGGTAGAAAATATCTCATGTGTTCAGTCTTTAAGACTTAGCCGGGATGCCTGTTTTTATAGACATTTCTGTGAAACAAATGTTTGTAAGTGAATAGCATAAAGTAGGAACCTTTTATTAATATTTTAACATCTATAATATTTGTATGTGCTATAGTTTAACCTTATTGGTCTCTAATGAATGTTATAAACAAAATATTTTTCAACATGTACTTTAATTGCTGTTAGTCCATAAGGCAACAGAAAATCTGCTATCCAAAATAATGTTTATTACCACAAGACAGTAACATGAGGCAGAGGTATTGCTGAAGAAATATGCTCAAAGTGGGAGACCAGTTACTATGTTAACCTCTCAGCTGAGACTTCCGTTTACTTGTGGTTATGCCTCCTTAATTTCTGCTGTTATTCCTTTCTGAGTTCCTCGTTTTTCTTGCTTGCTTTAGAAACATTGGGAAAAAAAGTTTGATGTAGACATTCCGGATCTTCATGGCTAGCTCTCTAATGTCACAAAGCTCCCTAATAATGTGACAATTATATATTTTCTTATTTAGCTCCATCTTAAAGCTATTTAGTTTTATTCTCCTCCTTCCCTTTCCCCACCCCTATATCCTTTAATTTAAATAGCACGTTCTCTTTTCCTGCCATGCATGCCAACAGTGGACTTACTGGGAAAAAAGATAAAGCTCATATCACAGAGTCACAGGAGCCATGGAATGGTTGAGGTTAGAAGGGACCTCTAGAGATCGTATAGTCCAACACCCCTGCTCCAACAGGGACACCTAGAGTACATGGCACAGGGTAGCATCCAGGTGAGTTTTGAAGATCTCTGAAGAAGGAAAAAACATATATACTGCAAGTGCAGCAAAGCCACATTAAACTATCCATTCTCAAAGCAATTAAAAAGCAGTGCCAAGCAAAATCTTAAAGACCGATAAAAAAAAATAAAAAGAAAGGGTGGAGAGGGGGTGAGAGTACCCTGCTCAGTTTTTGTTTTGCTGGTGAAACAAGACAAGTTTGTTTCTGCTTCCTTAGAAGAGAGGAGCTTTTCAGTTTCCATTTACAAGGTCAATTCTTCCCTGTGTGTGTTCAGGTTTGAATATATCTTTCCTGAGTGCATATGACCAAACAGTGTTCCAGAGGTGCTTTTTTTCTTAATGTTTTGTAAATATTTATTTTATATTTCAACAGACTTGTCCTAGAATTAGTTTTATGATTTTCCCACTGCTGATTCCTGAATATCCCGTGGGCAGTTGATATCCTAGCCCCCTTTTCTCCTCTTTGCTGAAACGCTGTGGCTTACAGCAGAACATTTAAGTATTGCGCAAGTATATGATCTTGCACTTGATACTATTAAATGCCATTCAGTTTTATTGTTCCACATCACAAAGTTACACTGTTTCCTGTGTAGTGCTGTCCTACATATTTATAGCACCTCCCATCTTCACATCAACTGTGATTTTCAGTAGCAGTGTTTCAATACTGTTATTTCCCTGTAAGCAATTTTTTTTCCAACCTTGCAATTTTTGCATTGATTTCTAGTTTAGCTAACGTTTCCTGTGTGGGGAAGTCTGGAAATTTTAGATATGTGAGCTATGAAAGAATTGTATCAGTTCTGAGACAGGTGATGGACTGACTATCCAACTGATTGATTCAGTAGGTAGAGATGGGTGTCATTGCCTCCTAGATTTCATGAAACTCATAGCAATATGGACAGAGGCTCGCAGAAACCCTTCTGTTGTTTGGAAGGAGGATTTCGCCTTTGGCAGGTGCACTGTCAAATTCAGTCCATCTTCCCGGCCATGCCCCTCCCGCAGCACTGTTTCACCCGCGCTAGGAAGCGCTTGAACCACCGCGGGCGCTGGGGGAGCCGCAGAAGCTTCACTCCGCAGGAGCTCCTCTCAGCACTGGGCGTTCCAGGACAGGACGGGCTCCTCCGACCGCCGCTATCGGCGCAGAGGAAAGAGGA